CCATCGACTTCATACCATCACCTTCCTAAAATGACCACCTGCCATTTTTGGGCCAAATTAATTTAAAAAAAATCAATAAATGTCATATGTTATATGTTGGTTAAATTTTTGTGTTTCCTGAAAAACTTAAAAAAAAATAAGTTGGGGAATTGTTTTAGGAGACTGTCAATGTGTAATGCAGGAGTGTTGGCCAAAAAAGAGAAATAAACTCCTAAAAGTCTAGACCATGGTATGCTTGTGATTTTAATATAGATATTAATTTAATAGACTCAGACACTCAGTGTATGTGAAAAAGTTTATTTTAAGTCAAGAGCAGCACAAGGATTTGGCTTTGGAAAGAAGTCCAAATCCCTTTGGTATTCAGTTGCAGGGTATTTGCACATTTGAGAGTTTTGACATGACTGAAAGTTCATCCAGAAATGGCACTAATATTAGAGCATCATTGCAACAATATTCATGTTAAATATAAAGTCAAAGATTGCAGTTAATTTTTTGGGGAAAAAATCTTATTATATTGTTACGGGAAAAAATAATAACAAAACTAATATTATGAAGAACTTCATATTTTGTGTACAGTTTGTCAGTAACACTGGAAAAATTTTTAATGTGTCTATGAAGTTTTGAGCTCTTATAAATAAATGCAATAAATTGAAATTAAATCACTTTATTAATAGGTATGACTTCACAATATTAATTTTATGATCTCTTTCACTTGCATGTACAGGGCTTTGACTTGGGAATGACCCCAAATGTTTTTAGTCTCTAGTTACAAGATGCCAGCACATTTCAAATTCTTGTAATAAAATAAATATGAGGTATTACCCATAAAGGTTCAGTCACCAAAATGTGTCCCCCTATATGGAGATGAAAACAGTTGGCATTTGGCCTGTGATCTAGTCCAAAATAAGTTTCACCTCTAGTCAAAATGAACTTAATGTGGATGTAACATTTGATCAAGGCTAGCAACTGTTGAAAAGCTTATTTAAATGGTCCCAGTTTCTTCTACATTTTTAATTATAATATAGTTTTTTGAGTCAAATTGTCCAACCAAAAAATATACATACATATATTATTAGGTAATTAGAAAAAAAAATAATTTGAACTAAAGAAAAAATTGTGTAATTTTCTCCATTTTAAGAACCATTTGTTAGTTTGATCTTGGAACACATGCCATGAGAGGATAGAAACTTAAGGCAGAAATTTTCTACCTTTTTTCCTGCATCTTTGCTACTGATACTAACCATGTATAGGTCATTGAATTTAGTTACGACTAGTTGTTGTAAACTGAAATATATTACTCTAAAGTTGCCGCAATAGTTTGTGTTGCCTTTACAGTGTTGTAGTTAATACATGTGCCTTGTTTTTCTGTTTAATTTTTTTTACTTTCCATATCCATTTGCTCTTTTTCAGAGCTCCTAGAGTCTAGCACAGAAACACACAGAACCTCTGTGCACCATCATCTGTCTCACCCCCCACCCCCGCAATCAAATTAATCCAACATGTACGTTTGTAGACTGTGAGAAGACAGAAAAGACACAGCTGAGATTAAAATTGGGCACAGAACTTAACACCACACCATCATGCTGCTTTGCATTATTTCCATAGTATATAAATGTGATTAGAACGCACATTATAAATTACTATTGTTTGACATAAAAGCCTCATTTCGCCCATAAAACAGTTGGGATCCAGATTTAGGAAATAAAATCATCTTTTATGAATTTGCTGTATGGATTTCTTTTTCCACTATAGTGTTACACAAAAAAGTTTTCTTGTCACCATACACTCCCTTTAGGGAGACACAAAAGTTGTTTGAAATCCAAGAACCCCTGCTTCATAAAAGCCCACCAAGGCGAGAGGATGAAAGGTCACTTCAAGCATGTGTGGGGCATCTATTCTATTCCAAGATCATGCCAAGCTTTAGTTTTTTTTCCCCCAGGAGTCATAGTCTTGAATGACTTGGCAACACAGTGTTTGTTGCTTGTGACATCTCAAATAGAACATTGCTTGGATGCAGGGAAGGACTCAGACATTTGTGTGTACTAAGCAGAATTTGATTCACCTTATGTATTCATTGGAGAGAGAAAAGATGTATTACATTTCCATTTTCCATTTTTTGCCCTTTATTTTGAAAATTGTTTTTAAAATCATTTTTAATGTTTTTAATAAATATATTTTGGGCATCTGCAATAGCATAAAATAATTCAAAGCTATAAATCAGCAATCAAACAGCTGAAGGAATAAAACTAACTGTATCTGCWCTGAGTGCTAATAAATGTCCATGTCATGTCAGCCAATACTGGAAGATAGGAGTGAAAAATGTCTAGACTATTTTAGGGTCTGAAAATGTTAAACATGAAAGAGAAAATTGATTTTAAGACACTAATGCACCAACACCTGTTCTAAAAGTAATACAATATTGCTTAGATCRCTTCTTTACCTTAGACAATATGGTATTTAGAGACATCAAAGTTGCTGGACAACAAAAAAGTGATCAAGAAAATCAAGACAAATATCATCTTTATTTTACGACAAAAGATCCTTAAACAACTAATTTATATTGTATAAACTCAATTGAAAGGACTTGACTGAAAGATGACTCCTATTCTGCAGAGTCCGACTGGAAAAGAAGAGCAAGAAAATCAGTTATCATTTGTGAAAGGTAAAATCTAGGAAATTTACTGGTGAGTCATAATGTAAAAACAAATTCATCAGACGATACTTGAACAAAATTGAAAAATACCTTTCCAACATCACGGCTCTTGGCTCTGAGCTTGTTGACCTGGGACTCAGCGATGTCAGCACGCTCCTGAGCCTCCTCCATCTCATGCTGGACCTTCCTGAGCCTGGACATGTGGGTGTTGGCCTGCTCCTCCTGTGAAAGATTTGAAGTTATACAGAAGTATTAAAAAAACAGCTATTATATAATATAATATTGAAATAAAATTGAATAATAGTTTATTCTTATTTTATATGTTTACTAATATAGTAAAATAAAAAAGCAAGTATTGTGAAATGTTTCACTTACAGCCTCCTCAGCTTGTCTCTTGTAAGCCTTGACTTTGAGCTGCAGCTTGTCCACCAGGTCCTGAAGTCTGACCAAATTCTTCTTGTCCTCCTCAGTCTGCACATGTGAAGTTTTGAATCATTAAGTGTCGACCAACAGAAATTTAAAAATGCCTTTTCCTTATTGGTAGTTGTTTTTAATACTGGATTTTACCTGGTAGGTCAGCTCCTTCACTCTCCTCTCATATTTGCGGACTCCTTTAACAGCATCAGCTCCACGTTTCTGCTCAGTTTCAACTTCAGCTTCTAGTTCACGCACCTGCAAAATGACAATAAAAAATAAATCAGCTTTATTTTATAAACAGTGATGTTTTGCAGATTTTGTTCTTTAAAAATAATTACTATGATTATTTGGTAGGATTAAAGACACATTTTGTTTAAGTCCATACCCTGTGCTCCAGTTTCTGAAGCTGCTTCTTGCCACCCTTCATGGCGAGGTTCTCGGCCTCATCCAGACGGTGCTGCAGGTCCTTAACAGTGACCTCCAGGTTCTTCTTCATCCTCTCCAAGTGAGCACTGGTGTCCTGCTCCTTCTTCAGCTCCTCAGCCATCATGGCAGCCTAAAATAAGAAATGATTTTTCATTATAATTAAATAGAAAACCATTTAAGTTCTTAAACTCAAAAGTGACACTTGTTAAGAAGTTTCTGAAAAGTAAGCTCACATCAGTGATGGCTTTCTTGGCTTTCTCCTCAGCGTTTCTTGCTTCCTGAACTGCATCTTCCACCTCACCCTGAACCTGGACAAGATCAGCCTCCAGCTTCTTCTTGGTGTTTATAAGGCTGGTGTTCTTAAAAAAAGTAGAACTTGTTGAGTATTCATTTGTTATATCTTTGATACCTATCAGTTCATGCAAACTAGGAAAACCCAACCTGAGAGTGAAGCAGTCCAACACGCTCACTGGCATCAACCAACTCCTGCTCAGCCACTTTTCGTGATCTCTCTGTCTGTTCCAGAGCAGCTCTCAGCTCCTCAATCTCAGCCAACATCAGACCATTCCTGCGCTCCACCATGGCAACCTGCTCCTTCATRTCCTCCTGTCCTCTAAGAGCATCATCAAGGTGCAGTTGGGCATCCTAACAACAAACCAAGAGTCAGARAGAATGTTTTTATTCTGAAACTATTGTATTTAAWTATCACAGTAAGCARAGCTCACCTTGAGCTGTCCCTGAACATTCCTCAGTTGTTTCTGGGCCTCAGCAGCCTGCCTGTTGGCATGGCTCAGCTGAATCTCCATCTCATTCAGGTCTCCCTCCATCTTCTTCTTGACTCTCAGGGCATCATTCCTGCTCCTGACCTCAGCATCAAGAGTGCTCTGCATGGAGTCAATCACCCTCTGGCTGTTTCTCTTGATCTGCTCCATTTCCTCATCCTTCTCAGCCAGCTTYCTGTCAATCTCACTCTTGACCTGGTTGAGCTCAAGCTGGACACGGAGAATCTTGGCCTCCTCGTGCTCCAGAGTGCCCTGAAAATAATAAACAGACATCAACGTTAACTTTTGCTAATATAAAGACATGCAAGTGTTTTCAATATTGTAATTATTTGTTTGATAAATGAAGCTTGAGTTTTTACCTCAGCTTCCTCCAGTGCAGACTGAATTTCAGATTTCTCTGTCTCCACAGTCTTTTTGGCTTTCTCCAGCTCATGAATGGTCTTTCCAGTCTCACCAATCTGTTCAGTCAGATCTGARATCTCCTCTACAGAGCAAAAAACATAAAATTATAGCTTTTACTTAACACCATTACAATACTCAGATAATCCACATGGTAAACGTATTGCATGTCTTTTTGAAGATTGACATACGCTGCAGGTTTTTGTTCTCCCTCTTTAGGGTCTCCAGCTGATCCAGGGCCTCCTCATAAGAGTTCTTCATCTTGAACAGCTCAGTGCTCAGAGAACGAGCCTCCTTTTGGGCTCCCTCCAGCTCAGCCTGGCTCTCCTCATACTTCTGCTTCCATTCTGCCAGGACCTAGTTTTGCATTGATTGAGTAAATGAGAAGCTTTCGTTTTAAACACCTATTAGCCTATTAAAAATTTTTCAAATGAACATAATTTATGAACATTTATGAACATTTCATATAAGCAAACACTTCCTCAATTATTAGTATTTTAAATGATCAGAATAACATTTTACCTTGTCAAAGTTCCTCTGCTTCTTGTCAAGGTTGGCAGCCAGAGCATTAGCTCTCTCCACATCAATCATAAGATCCTCCACCTCACCCTGCAGTCTCTGCTTGGTCTTCTCCAAAGAGGCACACTTGGAGTTCACAGCCTC